TATATGTGTGTGTGTGCTGAAGGAAATGAATAAATATGTACATATTAAATACATACACACATTTAAGTGTGTATACATTTTCTGTCTTTCTTGAGATTTTGGAGAGAGGACATGTATGTATATTCAGTCTGTCATCTTGCTCCAATGTACTTTGACGGCTGGGTTGTGTGAATATGGACATTAGTTTTGAATTATAACCAACCCCACTGGTGACTCTTTTTTATTTTATTTTTTCCATGTTCTTTTTAAAATTATTATTATTATTTATTTATTTATTTTTGTCTTTTTCCATGTCCGGCAACGGATCGCAACCCTCAGTGTTGCCCCCGTACCGGACCGGGGACCGGCAACGGGATTGCAACCCTCGGTGTTGCCCCCACGCCTCGCTCAGCCAGTGAGCGGGAACCGGTCTGTATGTGGGATCCGAACCCTCGGGTGGCAGCGCCGCCGCGCTTCCCAAGCGGCGCACTTATCCAGTGCGCCACCGGGCCGGCCCTTTAAAATTATTTTTATTGAAACATAATTGATTGTACATATCTATGGGATACAGCATTGAATATCAATACCTGTGTCCTACTGATTACTCTCAAGAGCAGGATTATTTATCGTATATGTAAATGTGAGTATATATATGGGAGACCTTGACTGTTACTGAACTATACGCTTCCTAAGCTGGAGTGCTCCATAGTCTAACAGGAGATTCAAGAACAAATGAATACTTGATTTTTTGATAATGTCAATATAAGCAGTGATAATATTGCCCATCTACAAATCTACTTTGGCATCTGTTATGCACTTACAGATTTTTTTTTCATGAATTTCCTCAATAATTGCCTCTCTGAAAGAGTCATTTAGCATAAGGATACTACTTTGGCTTTTTTCCTTGTGAATTTTAGATTTGACCCTTGCCCTAGTTTCAAATTTTGTAGATGAAAAACGACAAATATTTTTTATTATTCTTTTTATGGACTTAGTTCATATGTTTTGAGGGAAAAAAGTCAGATGAGGAAAAATATGAGGAAACAAGAAGTGGCTTGGCTAATTCTAAAGGCTTTTGATTTTATGTTTTTAGATGTGATCACAACAGAAAATCCAAATGGTACTGCCTCTGAAATATCGGTGAGAGCAACCACTGATATAAATTTTGCTCTAAGAAACTGTGAGTACTAAAAGGCATCATTGCACATGTAAAAGCCCTTAAAGCAGGATTTCAAAACAGTGCTAGAGAGTGTTGGGTAGGAAAGAGGCCTTACTCCTAAACAAGACTGTATTTTTTCCTGTAAAGCACATTCTATGACTCTGGGATCCAGCTGTGAGTTGTCAGTCGCCCCCTGGGTTTTCCTCACACTTTTCCCCCCACCAAGACCCTGGAAGCTCCACATCCATTGCACTGGTCATTTCAGAGTCAGGGAGATTCTTACATTTTTGGTTTGCGTGTAAAGAAAAATTAAATAATAACTAAATTTAGGATTCTAGGAAATTATACATCTTTCTTAAACCCACATTTTTACTCCGTTCTGTTTTTTGCCTTCAGCTTTAAACAGGGGAGAATGAGTCGGGAAAAGCCAGACTCAGTAATGCCCAAATATTAATAAAGCTATTTGACAAAAATGGTATATTTTGAGCCATTTCAAACTTTGGGGTTTGAATGAGAGGTGACATTTCAAGGGCATACATTAATTAGATAGGTCACTCATGGAAATCTTGCTTGTGCACAGCAAACAACATCTTGAGTTGTTTGAGACAAGACAGGGAAAGCCAACTCTTAAGCAGACCACGTTCTTCACAACCCATATGGGTTCTCAGTAACCCATATCCTAAATTCCCTTAGGACATGGCTTATTGAGGAACACAGAATCCACAGATGAGAGTCCAAAACCCTGACTTCTATTCCCACAATTCAGGTCCCCAGAGGATTGTCAAAGACAGTTGGATTGGGATCAGAAATTCCTGCCATTCTACATGGAGTTCTGACCTGGTGAAAACATTCTGGAGAAGCAAGCCCTTCAATGAAAGGGGGCTCTTCAGGATAATTTTGACTAGAGATTGATTGCTTTAGTCCCTAGAACTCTAAGGGCAAGGGGGATAAGCTGAGGCAATCCAGATGCTTTTCTCCAAAGTAGAGTATAAGGGTTGCATAGAGACTTTAAGGATTATTTACCAGTCTTTGGAGTCCTGCCTGAATCAATATCAACTCCAGTAACGGATTCCCTTTCCCATCCTTTCTTGTCAGCAAGATACCTGTATTGCATCCGCAGGCTCCGTCTGAATTCATTCTGCCTCTCTGTAGCACTCCTCCTGTGTTAGGGCGGCCTGCACTCCATGTGGAACTTTAGTGACTGCTGGATTAAGCAAAGTTAACTGCAAGGGCCATCTACATGGGGGAAAATAGCCCTGCAGTCACAATTGTTCCCTCTCTCTTAGCAACATCCCTTCAAATGGACAACACAGCAAAGACTGAGATGTAGGGCTGAAAATCCTTGTAGTCCAAAATCATTATACCCAGAGCTGTTTCTAATTGACAAGGACACTCGTGCTGCCTCAGTCTTTACTGTCATTGTTACGCTGATCAGCACCCAAGTTGCCCTGGACTGAGAATATCATTTCAAGACCATTGGAAACCAACGATCTCATCCGCTGCATTTTCCTTACCTCTAAAGGAAGCTTGCGGTCACATGTTCCCTGCTTTTCCTCTCTTTCAAAAATTATAGGCATATTAATCCCACCTCAGGTAACCCATTATCACAAAAAATTTATGCTTCAATGCCTTATTCTTTCTCCCTTCTTTAAGTTATTTCAGGAAAATGTCAATGTCTTTCTCTTTCTTCTCTCTCCTTTCCTTTGTTCCACTTTTAGCTTAAAAAGATGCCTAATCACAGATGTTTAGTCAATATTTTTACATGCTGATAATTCTTTATCCCTTTTCCTAGATAAAATCATCAACGCAACTTCAGCAAATGAAGCAAAATCTGAAGAGCCCCCTCATAAAAATACTCAAAGTATTAAAATTACTACACTGTATTAATACCTGGAGCATATCATTATGTGACTTAAAAATTTAAGTTTTACCTAAAGTAATAGCATGCTTAAAGAATTTATACTGCTACATTTTAAAGTCACTCTAAAATCTTTTAAACGGTGAATGTCTAAGTCAATTTTCATATGCACCTGACAAGGGAGAAGGAGTAAGCTTTTTTAGAAATATAATTTTATTTTATTAAAATGCATTACATTTATATTACCTATATTTAAAAATTAAAATAAATTTATATAAATATAAATGTAAGCTTAAATTTATATAAATACACAGAATATATTTTAAATATAATATATTTTGATAATTATGTAAAAATTACTACTTGCTTGAGGAATAAACTTATCTCTGGTTAGAATCAATTATTAGTGTTTCCTAAGATTATTGGGTTGTGGGGTTGGGAGTGGGAAGCTGCAAAATCAAAATCACCATTTTACTTTCCTACCAAGAATATTGTTCCCCAAGAAATATTTGTGAAACCATCACAATCCAGGATGGCTCTCCTCTAAGGTCTTGAGTGAGTGGTCTAATTGAAGACAATGGATACTTCCCTGTCATTACATGAAACCCTATTTTCTTCAGTTCATGCAATCCAAGTATGTGTCTAATATGATTACTTTGAATTAGTTCGCACCTTTAATACTACTAAAACAAACCAACATCTACTTTTTTGGTACGTTTAAAAATGGAAACCTGATCATCCTGGGATCCTCCTTCTTGAATATTTTTAGTAATTTACTACTAGGTGTGGGGTCATTATTCTAACTTCTCAACCAAGCATTCAAACCCAAAATGATCTGGCCACTGAAAACTTGGCAGCCTCCCCTCTGGTCACATTCCCCATCCATATTCTTCTCTCCAGACTGCCTGAAGCTCCCACAGCTTACGGAACCTGCTTGTGACTCCATGTCTGATCACAGCTGGAATGACCTCCCCTCCCCTTGTTTGCCTGGCAAACAATTCCTAGCCCTCTAAGCCTATATTGGAGTATTATCTCCCCTTTGAAGGGTTCCTAGCCTTCGCAAGCTGAATTAGGCCTGGTGTATACCATCTGTGCATTTCTTTTAAAGCCTTTATTATCATGCAACATAATCAACCATGATTTTTGTCTGCCTCCAAAATTAAGGGTGGGTTCCTTGAGCATAAGGCCTGTGCCTTGTTTACTTCTATACCTTTAGTGTCAACCACAGGGCTTGGCACATGATAGGAACTCAAGGTATAACTGCTAAATGACTAAACTAATGAGTGAATGTTACTGAAGCCAAATTACCTTATTTTGTTGTGTTTTTTTGTTTGTTTAAACAGAAACAACCCCAAATGTGCCTGCATTTTGGACAATGTTAGCTAAAGGTAAATTCATACAGTTAGGTAGCTGGGGAAATGTTTTGATTTTGTAAAATCTTATGTAAGAAAGCCAATATCAGTCTAGATCCTTCTAATACTAAAAGTTGATAGGTCAACAGTTTGCTGCCACATGTAATAGCGAATACAAAACAAACCCAAAAAGGTGATAAAGTGTCACACATGTTCTGATTCTCCTCCCCGCAAAATTTATTTTCTCACAAATGTTAAAATCTAGCCATTCAATTTATTCATGATTAAAACATTTAAACAAGGTTCTTGCCCAATAGAGTCCTTTGCATTTAAGGCGGTGTACATGTAAGCACATGGAGATGCATGTATAAATGCAAAGTATATATCAAAATATATGCTTGCATAAAAGTAATGCATATGCCATATTTATGCATGCGTGTACAATATACATATCTATATGCATGCAGGTATAAATGTCTGTACATATGTATAAATGTAATGCATGTACCACAAAGATATATATGCATGCATATGAATGTGAGATACATACTACATTCAGTCAGTCCTCATTATTTGCATATTCTGTATTTATATTCTGTATCACCTACTCTCTAATATTTCCTTATCACCCCAAAATACTTGGCAGCACCTAGACTGTCATTTGGGACATCGGCAGAGCTTTGAAAAATTTTAGTTGCCTGACACGCACATTCCCAGCTGAGTTAGAACAAAGCAACGTTCAGCCTACTTTTTTCAGCTCTCGTACTGTAAATGAGTGTCATTTTTTGCAGTCTATTTAGAGCCACATTTTTTGCATTTCGTGCTTTTTGTTGCTCTTTAAAATGGCCCCTGACCGCAGTGTTAAATTGCATTCAGCCTACTTTTTTCAGCTCTCGTACTGTAAATGAGTGTCATTTTTGCAGTCTATTTAGAGCCACAATTTTTGCATTTCGTGCTTTTTGTTGCTCTTTAAAATGGCCCCTGACCGCAGTGTTAAATTGCTGTCTAGTGTCCCTCATTGCAAGAAGGCTTTGATGTGCCTGATGGAGAAAATGTCTTTGTTAGATAAGCTTTGTTTAGGCATGAGTTATAGAGCTGTTCACTATGAGTTTGATGTCAATAAATCAACAATATATATTGAATAAAGTATCTTTAAACAGAAACACATAAAACAAGGTTATGTATTGATCAGTTGAGGAAAATGCTGCAACCAGACTTGCAGGAATCTAGTCCTGTATTTACCCTAGGAGCAGCAGTTCAGTATTTGCTAATTCAGTGTTTACCATGACCTTATAGAACATAACTACCATGAATAATGAGAACAGACTGTACATATTATACACACACACATATATACACATGCAATAATTCTAGTAAGTAAATGCTGTTTACCGTAACACCAATTTATTGTTTTAACAGCTATAAGTGTAACAACGATGAGCGTGGACGATAAAGATCAATTATTTCAACCAATTCCAAGTAAGAACAATGTACTTCAATTAATAGATATATTCATACTTGCACACATTTTAGTGTCTGCTTGGTGATACTATTTTCCCTAGTAAGGTGTAGTGCATGCGAGAGGGTATTATGGGCTAACACCATATCTGAGAGGATGTTTACTCTTTTAGGAGAATTACAGTTCCTAAGCATTCTGCTCCAGTTGTCACTTTGCAAATGACCATTACCACCTTCCTGTTTTGTAGCTTCTATTCCAGAAACAGGTAAACCAAATGTAGGAGTGGGCAAGTGAATGGTACATAGAATGCAGATTTTTTTCAGTAGACTTTAGTTTTAGAGCAGTGTCAGGTTTAAAGAAAAATTTAGCAGAAAGTATACAGTTCTCACATCCCACCCCCCATCCCCAGCATCCCCTATTATTAATACCTTGCATTGTGTGGTACATTTGTTATAACTTATTAACCAATATTGATACATTATTATTAACTAAAGTCCGTAGTTTACATTAGAGTTCACTGTGTTGTAGTTCTCTGGGTTTTGACAAATGCATGTCATGTATCCACTATCACACTATCACACAAAAGTTTCACTCCCCTAAAATCCCCTCTGTGCTCACCAATTCATTCATCCATCCTCTCTCCCCGAGACCCTGGCAACCACTGATCTTTTTACTGTCTCTATAGTTTTGCCTTTTCCAGAATGTCATATAGTTGAAATCATACAGTATGTAGTCTTTTCAGACTGGCTTCTTTTACTCAGCAATATGCATTTAAGATTTCTTTTTGTGGCTCGATAGCTCATTTATCTTTATCACTAATATCCCCTTGTATGTATGTACCCCAGTTTATTCACCTATTGAAGGAAATCTTGGTTGCTTGAATTTTGGGTGATTATGAATAAAGTTGCTATAAACATTTGTGTGCAGGGTTTTTGTGTACATAAGTTTTCAACTCATTTGGGCAAATACCTAGGAGTGCTATTTGCTGGATCATATGGTAGGACTATGTTTAGCTTTGTGAGAGACTACCAAACTGTATTCCAAAGTTGTTGTACCATTTTGCATTCCCACCAGCAATGAATGTGAGTTCCTGTTGCTGAATACAGTAGTTTTTATTAATGGTTTAATTTATAAGAGTAAAGGAACTCTTGATTTGAATGGAAAATTTCATGACAAGGCAATATGTTAATTTCCCCCCAAATCTCTGTCCTACAAATAAATGATTGAAAAATAGCTTCTGGTGATATAGCTAAAACTTGCCACTTTGGTTCTGCACTGCATTATTTGACAAATATAGTAATTTGCCTTGTAGTGCTTCAAGAAAATGAAGTAAGTCTTAAACTAAGAAGAATTATACAGGAATAACAAATACTGGGTCATTTTAGAAATACTTTGCCTTTTCTCTTATTTAATATTTAAGTGATTAAATTGAGCTTGATTATCATTTACTGAGCACATACTACAGGCCAGGTGGTTTAGATATATTACATCAGTCCTCATAGCAAGTCCATCAAGTTGGTATTACCTTCATTTACAGATAAGGAAACTGAGGCTTACAAAGAAAACCTGCCCAAGCTTGCAAATAGCTTTTCTATAACTTCCAGTGATTAGGAATTTCAAACCTTTCCATAGTTTTGACCATCACCTTGATAAAATGTATTATGAGCACACCTCTTTGTAAAAACCCTTCCAGGAGGTAGAAAAGAAATTCAGGAGCACAGCCCATTTCAACATAATTTGGTTATTCCCAAAATAATCAGCCTCAGAGCCAGAGAACAGTCATTGACAAATGCACACATTTCACTCCACTTGGTCTAAGGTCAGACTTTGACAATTACAATTCTAAAAAATCAGAGAATATGGACATGGAAGTTTGTCATTGCCTATTACCTAGACATCAGTACCTAGAACATAGCGAAAACCTTTGGAACTTTTGGGTTGGGGCCAGGGAGAGCTGAGAGGAGGAAGAGAGCTGGGACAAAGGAGAGAAATAACAAAATGGTCATCTGAAGTCATCATTAAGTAAATGTTTAAGAAAGATGT